CATGATGACCACAGGCCCACAGGGGGCCACTGCCACGGTGGCCACGCCCACCCCACAGTGGCCACGCCCACCCACCAGCGGCCAATAGCCAGCTCCTGGTGGCCACCAGCCCCACGTGACCACTGCCACGGTGACCACGCCCACCCCGGTGGTAGCCACGCCCATCTCCACGGTGGCCACGCCCATTCTGACGGTAGCCACGCCCATATTTAGGTTAACCACGCCCACCCTCGCGGTAGCCACACCCAGCCCATGCTGGCCACGCCCACCCTGATGATGGCCACGCCCACCCCGATGGTGGCCAGGCCCATTCCCTTGGTAGCCAGGACCACTCCCGCGGTGGCCACGCCCACCCTGACAGTAACCACGCCCACCCCACACTAGCCACGCCCAACCTGACTGTAGCCACGCCCATTTCCGCGCTAACCACGCCCACCCACACTACCCACGCCCACCCCACATTAACCACGCCCACCCCGCGCTAACCAGTTTTTCCCCGTTTTTCCCCAATTTCCCCCATTTCCTCCCATTTTTCCCCAATTTTCCCCCGTTTCCCCCCATTTTTCCCCGTTTTTCCCCATTTTCCCCATTTCCCCCGTTTTTCCCCATTTTTCCCCATTTTTCCCCGTTTTTCCCCGTTTTCCCCCTTTTTTCCCCATTTTTCCCCATTTCCCCCGTTTTTTCCCCGTTTTTCCCCGTTTTTGCCCCATTTCCCCCCCATTTTCCCCATTTCTCCCCCCAGTATTCCCCATTTTCCCCCATTTCCCCCATTTCCCCCCATTTTCCCCGTTTTTGCCCCGTCTCCCCGCCCTCACCGGCGATGAAGGAGCCCGGGGGCATCTGGCTGTAGTTGGCGCCCCCGGGGTGGGGGAGGGCCCCGCCCGGGGGGGTCCCGAAGGAGCCCCCGAAGCTCGGGGGGGTGGCGTAGGGCCCGGGCGGGAAGCTCTGGGGACAGCACGGGGACCCCGCGTCACCTCGCGGGGCCACCACTGTCACCTCCTCATTGTCATCCCCCAATGTCACCTCCGGGGTCACCTCGCGGGGCCACCACCCCCTGTCACCTCCCAGTGTCACCTCTGGGGTCACCTCGTGGGGCCACCACCCACTGTCACCTCCCAGTGTCACCTCCCAGTGTCACCTCCACTGTCACCTCCACTGTCACCCCCCAGTGTCACCTCCCCAATGTCACCTCCGGGGTCACCTCTGGGGTCACCTCCGGGGTCACCCCCCCAGTGTCACCCCCAATGTCACCTCCCACTGTCACCTCTGGGGTCACCCCCCAGTGTCACCTCCCAGTGTCACCTCCCCACTGTCACCTCCCCATTGTCACCTCCACTGTCACCTCCCAGGATCACCCCTCTTCTGTCACCTCCTGCTGCCACCTCCCATTGCCACCTCCAGGGTCACCTCCCCATTGTCACCTCCCAGTGTCACCCCCATGGCCAGGGGTGTCCCCAAGGTCAGGGGTGTCCCCAGGGTGTCCCCAGGATGTCACCAACAGGTTGGGGACGTCCCCAGAGCAGCGCCGGTGTCCCCAGGGGGGTGGGCAGTGTCCCCTGGGCAGGGTGACAATGCCAATGTCCCCTGGGCAGGGTGACAATGCCGATGTCCCCAGGATGGTGGGGACAGGCGACAGGGGTGGCTCTCGGTGCCCTTGCTGGCCAGGCGGCTCAGGATGGCAGGGGCAGGGTGACAATGCCGGTATCCCCAGGGCAGGGTGGCAGGGTTTCAGGGTGGCAGGGTGGCAGTGTGACAGGGTGTCAGGGTGACAATGACAGGGTGACAATGACAGGGGTGTCACTCACAGGAGGAGGGTGGCTCTCGGTGCCCTTGCTGGCCAGGCGGCTCAGGATGGCAGGGACAGGGTGACAATGCCGGTATCCCCAGGGCAGGGTGGCAGGGTGGCAATGACAGGGTGACAATGACAGGGTGACAATGACAGTGACTCACGGGAGGAGGGTGGCTCTCGGTGCCCTTGCTGGCCAGGCGGCTCAGGATGCTGCGCTCGGACATCTGCAGGCGCGCGGCGATGGGCGGGATGCGGGACAGCGTGGCCGGCAGGCGCGTCACGTCCGCCTTCATGTCGCTCAGCAGCTCCTCCAGCTGGTTCAGCACTGCCCGCGCACAGGGAGAGAGAGTGCCTTCAGCCTGCTGCTCACGGGTTACTCACAGGTTACTCACAGGTTACTCACTGCCTACTCACTGCCCGCGCACAGGGAGAGAGAGTGCCTTCAGACCGCTGCTCACGGGTTACTCACAGGTTACTCACTGCCTACTCACTGCTCACTGCCCGCGCACAGGGAGAGAGCGCCGTCAGACCGCTGCTCACGGGTTACTCACAGGTTACTCACAGGTTACTCACTGGTTACTCACTGCCTACTCACTGCTTATTCACTGCCCATGCACAGGGAGAGACAGCGCCTGTCAGCCTGCTACTCACTGCTTACTCACAGGTTACTCACTGCTCACTCACTGTCCACACACAGGGAGAGACAGCACTGTCAGTGCCTGCTACTCACTGCTTACTCACTGCTTACTCACGGGTTACTCACTGCTAACTCACTGCTCACTGCCCACGGGGAGAGAGCTCTGTCAGTGCCCACCCGGTGCTTACTCACAGGTTACTCACTGCTTACTCACTGCTAACTCACTGCCCGCACACAGGGAGAGAGCGCTGTCAGACCACTACTCACTGATTACTCACTGCTTACTCACAGGTTACTCACTGCCCGGGCACAGGGAGACAGTGCTGTCAGCCTGCTGCTCACAGGTTACTCACTGCTTACTCACTGCCTGCTTACTGCCTGCGGGGATACAGAGCGCCGTCAATGCTGCTTACTCATGGCTTACTCACAGGTTACTCCCTGCCTGCTCACTGCTTATTCACAGCTTACTCACTGCTTACTCAGTGCTTACTCACTGCCTGCGCGGGGAGGGAGACAGTGCCCATCAGCCTACTGCCTACTCACTGCTTACTCACAGACTACTCACTGCCTGCTCTAGGCTTACTCACAGGTTACTCATGGGGAGAGGGAGGAGCTGGCAGTTACTCAGGGAGTACTCGGAGCTTACTCGGGAGTTGGAACTGCGTGGGGGAGGGGTGTGAGTGGGCTGGGGGCACTCGGGGGGTGCTCTGGAGTTACTCTGGGGATACTCCGGAGTTACTCTGGGGGTACCCGGAGTTATTCTGGTGATACTCTGAAGTTACTCTGGGGATACCCCAGAGTTACTCTGGGGATACTCCAGAGTTACTCTGGGGGTGCTCCGGAGTTACTCTGGGGATACTACGGAGTTACTCTGGGGATACTCCGGAGTTACTCTGGGTTTATTCCTAATTCTGGGTGTGTTCCTGCCTTACTCAAGGTTTACTCCTGATTTACTCAGGGCGGGCCTCGCCCACAGAGGAGATCCCCCAGCTGTGCTGCTCCCTCTGAGTATCTCCTCGAGGTACTCCGGAGATACTCCGGGGTTACTCCAGGGTTACTCTTAATGCTCTGGGGATACTCATTTGCTACCCCAGAGATACTCCAGGGTTACTCCAAGGTTACTCCAGGGTTACTCCTGCCTTTCTGCAGGGCTGCATGCACAGGGCTACTCCATGGTTACTCCATGTCTACTCCATGGTTACTCCATGGCTACTCCATGGCTACTCCGTGGATACTCGGACACACCGGAGGTGACTGCGGCTCTGCTCTGGAGTTACTCCGGGGATACTCCTGCCATTAAATACACCTGAGATACTCTGGGCTTACACCAGGGATACTCCGGGCTTACACTGGGGATACTCCGGGCTTACACCTGAGATACTCTGGGAATACTCCAGGGATACTCCGGGCTTACACCGGGGTGCTCTGGCCATGCAAACACCGGCGCTACTCCAGCCTTACTCCAGCCTTACTCCCAGCATGCACCGTGGGGATACTCCGGGGATACTCAGGGGATACTCTGGGGATACTCCACCAAAACACCCCTGCGCTGACTTCACTCCGACTAAAATTTACTCAGACTTTGCCCCGACCTTACTCCAACTTCGCTATGACTTTACTCCACCTTTACTCTGACTTTACTCTGGCTTTACTTGAACTTTACCCTAACCTTACTCCAACTTCACTATGACTTTACTCCGCTTTTACTCTGACTTTACTCCAACTTCACTATGCCTTTACTTGGACTTTACTCCAACTTTACTATGATTTTACTATGACTTTACTTTGACCTTATTCCAACTTCACCATGACTTTACCATTACTTTACCCTGACCTCTCTCCAACTTTACTCTGACTTTACTCTGACCTTACTCCAACTTCACTCTGACTTTACTATGATATTACTACTACTTTACTCCAGCTTTACTACAATGTTACTTGGACTCCACCTGTACTACTACTTTACTCCAACTTCACTCTGACTTTACTATGATATTACTACTGTTTCACTCCATCTTTAGTGTAACGTTACTCTGACTTTACTCTGACTTTACTCTGACTTCACTCCAATGTTACTACTACGTTACTTGGACTTCACTCCAACTTTACTCTGATATTACTACGATTTTACTCCAACTTTGCTATGATGTTACTTGGACTTTACTCCAAATTACTCCTACCTTACTCCAACGTTCCTCCTACCTTACTCTGACTTTCCTCCAACTTTCCTCCTACCTTACTCTGACTTTACTCCAACTGTACTACCACTTTACTCAGACTTCACTCTGCCTCCCCACAGCCCCGCCCCCCCCGCATTGGCCCCGNGGGGGGAGACCCCCGGGTGGGGGGTTCAGGGGTTCGTGGGGTGAGGTGTGGGGAGACCCAGGGATGGGGAGTTCAGGGGTGGGGGGAGACCCAACATCTGGAGGGTTCAGCCCTCGCATCACCCCAGTGACACCCTCACTGTCACCCCCATGCCACCCTTGCTGTCACCCCCATGCCACCCCAGTGACACCCTCACTGCCACCCCAGTGCCACCCTTGCTATCACCCCAGTGCCACCTTCGCTGTCACCCTGGTGCCACCCCAGTGACACCCTCACTGTCACCCTGGTGCCACCCTCACTGCCACCCCGGTGCCACCCTCGCTGTCACCCCACTGCAACCCTCACTGTCACCCCAGTGCCACCCTCGCTGTCACCCTTGTGCCACCCCAGTGCCACCATGGCTGCCACCCCCATGCCACCCTGGTGCCACCCTCACTGCCACCCCAGTGCCACCCAGTGCCACCCAGTGCCACCCCATGCCAGGCGGCGCCGCGGGGCTGACCTTGAAGCGGCGCGCCAGGAACTTGTTCTTCATCTCCAGGAAGTTGCCCTTGGAGGCCTCGCCCTTGAAGGGTTCGTTGATGACCCCGAAGGCGCCGTCGTTCTGGATGTCGGTCCAGCGCGCGTAGCCGTGGCTGCGCGCTAAGGAGGCCACTTGTCACCGTGTCACCTGTGTCACCTGTCACTGTGTCACCGTGTCACCCTGTCACCATGTCACTGTGTCACCGTGTCACCTGTGTCACCTGTCACCGTGTCACTGTGTCACCGTGTCACCGCATCATCACATCTCCCTGTCCCCAACATCCCCCACACAGAGCCGTGGCTGCGCGCTAAGGAGGCCACCTGTGTCACCTGTCACTGTTACCGTGTCACTGTCACCTTTTACCGTGTCACTGTCACTGTGTCACTGTGTCACCGTGTCACCTTTCACCGTGTCACCTGTCACTGTGTCACTGTCACTGTGTCACTGTGTCACCGTGTCACCTTTCACTGTGTCACTGTCACTGTGTCACTGTGTCACTGTCACTGTGTCACCTGTCACCTTTCACTGTGTCACCTGTCACTGTGTCACTGTCACCTGTCACTGTGTCACTGTCACTGTGTCACTGTGTCACCGTGTCACCTTTCACTGTGTCACTGTCACTGTGTCACTGTGTCACTGTCACTGTGTCACCTGTCACCTTTCACTGTGTCACCTGTCACTGTGTCACTGTCACCTGTCACTGTGTCACTGTCACTGTGTCACTGTGTCACCGTGTCACCTTTCACTGTGTCACTGTCACTGTGTCACTGTGTCACTGTCACTGTGTCACCTGTCACCTTTCACTGTGTCACCTGTCACTGTGTCACTGTCACCTGTCACTGTGTCACTGTCACTGTGTCACTGTGTCACCGTGTCACCTTTCACTGTGTCACTGTCACTGTGTCACTGTGTCACTGTCACTGTGTCACCTGTCACCTTTCACTGTGTCACCTGTCACTGTGTCACTGTCACCTGTCACTGTGTCACTGTCACTGTGTCACTGTGTCACCGTGTCACCTTTCACTGTGTCACTGTCACTGTGTCACTGTGTCACTGTCACTGTGTCACCTGTCACCTTTCACTGTGTCACCTGTCACTGTGTCACTGTCACCTGTCACTGTGTCACTGTCACTGTGTCACTGTGTCACCGTGTCACCTTTCACTGTGTCACTGTCACTGTGTCACTGTGTCACTGTCACTGTGTCACCTGTCACCTTTCACTGTGTCACCTGTCACTGTGTCACTGTCACCTGTCACTGTGTCACTGTCACTGTGTCACTGTGTCACCGTGTCACCTTTCACTGTGTCACTGTCACTGTGTCACTGTGTCACTGTCACTGTGTCACCTGTCACCTTTCACTGTGTCACCTGTCACTGTGTCACTGTCACCTGTCACTGTGTCACTGTCACTGTGTCACTGTGTCACCGTGTCACCTTTCACTGTGTCACTGTCACTGTGTCACTGTGTCACTGTCACTGTGTCACCTGTCACCTTTCACTGTGTCACCTGTCACTGTGTCACTGTCACCTGTCACTGTGTCACTGTCACTGTGTCACTGTGTCACCGTGTCACCTTTCACTGTGTCACTGTCACTGTGTCACTGTGTCACTGTCACTGTGTCACCTGTCACCTTTCACTGTGTCACCTGTCACTGTGTCACTGTCACCTGTCACTGTGTCACTGTCACTGTGTCACCTGTCACTGTCACGACACAAGGTGACAAGGATACAGGACGATGCCGGCCAGCAGCCAGTAGTCGTGTCACCAGTGCTACATTTACCGTGCTGTCACTGTCACTGTCACTGTACTGTCACTGTCACCGTGGTGTCACCGTCACTGTGCTGTCACTGTCACCGTCCCCACCCCAGGGACGCCCCAGTGCCAAGGATACAGGACGATGCCGGCCAGCAGCCAGTAGTCGTGTCACCAGTGCTACATTTACCTTTGGGGTTTTTGGGGTTCCCAGGATTTGGGGTTTGGGGATTTTCCTGGGATTTGGGGTTTTTGGTGTTCGGGGAGTGGGGTTTGGGATTTGAGGATTGGGGTTTCTGGGATTTGGGGTTTTGGGTTTTTGGGGTTCTCAGGATTTGGGGTTTTGGTGTTTCTGGGATTTGGGGATTTGGGGTTTCTGGGATGTGGGCTGTTGGGATTTGGAATTTTGGGGTTTTTCAGGGATTTGGGGTTTTGGAGTTTTGGTGTTTCTGGGATTTGGGGTTTGGAGTTTTTGGGGTTTTTGGCATTTGGGGTTTTTGGGGTTTGGGGTTTTGGGTTTTTTCAAGGATTTGGGGTTTTGGGGTTTTTGGGATTTGGGTTTGCCAGGGATTTGGGGTTTTTGGGGTTCCCAGGATTTGGGGTTTCTGGGAATTGGAGTTTCTGGGATTTGGGGTTTTTGGGGATTTGGGGATTTTGGGGTTCCCGGGATTTGGGGATTTTGGGTTTTTGGGGTTCCCAGGATTTGGGGTTTCTGGGAATTGGAGTTTCTGGGATTTGGGGTTTTTGGGGATTTGGGGATTTTGGGGTTCCCGGGATTTGGGGATTTTGGGTTTTTGGGGTTCCCAGGATTTGGGGTTTGGGATTTCTGTGATTTGGGGATTTTGGGTTCCCAGGATTTGGGGTTTGGG